GAGAGAGAGAGAGAGAGAGAGAGAGAGAGAGAGAGAGAGAGAGAGAGGGAGGAGTCATCTTCCCTCCCAAACTGATGATGTTAGAAAACTGGCCCTGTTGCTATTTATCACCTTCGGGGGTCTGTGTAGCTCCTGTGAACCTTGAATGCAGCGCCATAGGCAAATGTCCGATGGATGTGAACGAAATTACACGCGGGTTGGCTACCGGGTGCCAATTTCCAGCATCATTTCCATGCACGACAAGAACATGGCACGCAGTAGTCAACCGGTCATGTACTTCTCGCCCAGCATTAAGATGAACATGTTTTCTAGTGTCTTCCCAATACTGCTTTGTAACATCATATTCAACATTTTTGGAAGTGCGTAATGCGTTTGCTGCAAACGGTCCAAACGATTCATGTTCTTGCAAAATCATACGTTGACATATTTTGGCCCACATTACACATGACACACTGCGTATCCTTGCAAGACAAGCAACAATGTGTACAATATATTGATAGTGAGTAATGGGAGATGCGAAACGCAAATGCTACTTGATGGTCGAAACACATCCACGACAGGTCTTGTACAAAACCATTTATTTAATAACACATGTTTGCTTATTGTACACTCAGCCCAAAGTGTTCTCCAGAGTCTTTTTTTTCCAAATAATAACTCTCTCTCTCTCTCTCTCTCTCATTTTACACTTTGGTCCTCATTGGCTGTGTATCATGCCACTGATTGTCTGTGGAGGTGCAACTCATGTCCCCTCCAACACCATCGCCCAGCTCCCTCCCCACCCTGGCCTTGTTTTACCCCCAACCCCCCTCGATCCACTTCCGGACCCCTTCTTCTCCTTTTCACGGCCTTGCGCACAAACTTTCTTCGTCTCTCTCTCTGCCCGCACATTTGTCCACGGTGTGCGCAATGAACTCAAGCTCAAAATCATCATCTGTTGTAGTCATGTTATTGGCGTCTCCCCTCTGCACAGCACGCAACCCAACTCTGTACAATGCGACGGCCTTGTCTGCAAGAGAAACAACACAGTCGAGCTTGAAGATAGAAAAGCTTAAGACCGTGTCTCAGGAGCGGACAGATGCAGTGATCTCTTTCTTGATAGCTGCAAATTTCTGTATTTGGTCCGCTGCTTTACTGGTCTTTGCCGTCCGCTCGACTTCACTTTTCAGTACCAGCTCCGCAAATGCTGGTTGCTGCAACGTTACACCAAGGTTGATGCCATCTCTTCTCATTTGAAAAACTTTTGTCAGTGTTGTCTTGAAAGAAGGAGCGCCTCACGGATCATTGCCGCTCCTTCTCCATGTTGTGTTCCCCTTCATCTCTGCCCTCATCTTGTTGCGAGTCAGAAGCTGATGATCCGTTTGAGCTGACCAGACCAGCGGCAAACCTTTTTCGGCCCAAAACCAATGTTTCAATTGCCATGATATCTCGCCTCGGACCGTTGTCATAACCCGATTGCATTCCCCGATCACAGCTCGAATTCCGTTCGCTGCCACGTGAAACCGTAGTCCTTCCTCCGCATGTTCTCCTATCAATTTGGCAGTTGTTTGCAGTGCTGTGAAAAAAATGTCCTCCGATAAGTACAACGTCGCATCTTTTGCTGCAGAAAAAGCAAAGGTCTTCGCCACTGAACGAAACAGTCTGTCTTTCATTTTCTTTGTAAAACCCCCGGTTTGTTGCTCTGTTGGTTCATTAGCA